GAAAGTGAACATAGAAAATAGTAAGGTGATGAGGGTGTCAAATGATTTAGATAAAGAAAAATTGGATATCAAATTGGGGAGGAGGAGTATGGAAGAAGTGAATGTTTTCAGATACAGTGGACCCCCGGTTAACGATATTTTTTCACTCCAGAAGTATGTTCAGGTCCAGTACTGACCGAATTTGTTCCCATAAGGAATATTGTGAAGTAGATTAGTCCATTTCAGACCCCCAAACATACACGTACAAACGCACTTACATAAATACACTTACATAATTGGTCGCATTCGGAGGTGATCGTTATGCGGGGGTCCACTGTACTTGGGAGTTGACGTGTCGGCGGATGGATTTATGAGGGATGAGGTTAATCATAGAATTGATGAGGGAAAAAAGGTGAGTGGTGCGTTGAGGTATATGTGGAGTCAAAAAACGTTATCTATGGAGGCAAAGAAGGGAATGTATGAAAGTATAGTAGTACCAACACTCTTATATGGGTGTGAAGCTTTTAACATTTCTGTCATGATCCCATCAGTTCCAGCTGCTTTACCCCCTTTCATTTTACGTAATGCCTCACGTACCTCCCCCACACTTACATTCTGCTCTTCTTCACTCCTAAAAGATGGTATACCTCCCTGACCAATGCATGAAATTACTGCCTCTGTTTCTTCCTTAACATTTAAAAGTTCCTCAAAATATTCTCGCCATCTACCCAATACCTCCATCTCCCCATCTACTAACTCCCCTACTCTGTTTTTAACTGACAAATCCATATTTTCCCTAGGCTTTCTTAACTTGTTTAACTCCAAAATTTTTTCTTATTTTCATTAAAATTTCTTGACAGTGCTCTCCCACTCTATCATCTGCTCTCCTTTTGCACTCTCTCACCACTCTCTTTACCTTTCTTTTACTCTCCATATACTCTGCTCTTCTTATAACACTTCTGCTTTGTAAAAACCTCTCATAAGCTACCTTTTTCTCTTTTATCACACCCTTTACTTCATCATTCCACCAATCACTCCTCTTTCCTCCTGCCCCCACCCTCCTATAACCACAAACTTCTGCCTCCTCCTTCCTTCTCATGGATACGGGGGTCCTATTGTACTCCTTGAAACATGGAATAAGTCATATCGATTGAGTTCAAATGCATGAATAGATGAAAGAAAACCCAAAAAGTTGCCCTGAGGTAAAAAATATTGGCAGCTGACAGATTTGTTTTTACAAACAATGGTGCATACTAGTACGTCGGACACAGTACCAGCACCTGCGTACTAGTACATCGGACACAGTACCACCACCTGAGTCCTAGTATGTCAGCCACAGTAATAGCATCTGTGTACTGGTACGTCGGACACAGTACCAGCACCTGCGTGCTAGTACGTACTTCAGACACATTGCCAGCACCTTCGTACTAGTACGTTGGACACAGTTAAAGGTTTAAGACAATAAGTTTAGGATGTGAAAACAAAATTTGTAAGATCATAATTTTCTTGTGGCAGCTAGTTGAACATTTGAGCAACTCCAATATTCTGTGAGTGGCTAGAAATCATGCTAATTTGAGTTCTCTGTATGCTATGTTAGGTCTTTATATTCCACATGGCACCCTTTATTCCTGTTTTTCTCTCTATCTCTGTATGATTTTATTTTGTCATTTCGTACTTGAGTTTCACAGTTTCTTCCTTGATTGATGAGTGTCACAAAAACAGCGTATAACTTTCCGAGAAGCTGAGAAAAAATTAAAAATTTTTGTGATTCCGGTGTAAGCAATCTTTGTTTTTATTTGCAGTTGGTCTTATCTAACCTAGACAATGAGGATGAGGACTTGAGGATTATCACTGCTTCCACAGCTTCTCTCTCAGGACTAGATGTCATTCATTGTCAGAGTTTGCATTCCTTTCTGGTGAACTTTCATTCATCATCATTTGACAGTGTATATGCCTAGTCTAATACCCCTTACTCACAGAATTGAAGAGATAACCTTTGTCTCCGTTATTTTGTTTTTCCATTGACTTCATTCGTGCAACCTATAGAATTCTCACGTGGGTTAGGAAAGCAAACCTTATTAGTCTCTGTGGGCAGAGTGCCATGTCCACTGCCACTTTCAAATTATCGTTTATCTGATTTAGACTTTCATTCTTCTTTGGTCATTTCTAATCATGCTCAGATACTTGGCTTTGTATGACTCGTCCTCATGTGACTGAAACTTTCTGTATGTATGCCTCTAAATACTATACTGATTTTTTTTTTAACAAGTCGGCCGTCTCCCACCGAGGCAGGGTGAAATATTAGTTTTTAACCCCTTTTAGGGTCGACAGGCCCTCTCCGAGACTCGTTCTCAGGGTCGGCCAAATTTAAAAAAAAAAAAATTATGAAAAGATAGAGAATCTTTTCCCGATCATAATGACACCAAAAGTATGAAATTTAATGGAAAACTTATGGAATTGTGCTCTCGCGAAGTTAGCGGTCTCGGCGATGTTTACGCATCGGCGATTTTGCCTACTTTGAGCCCTAATTTCGGCCAATTCCACTGTACTAGTCGACAAAAAACATAAATATTTTGCTAGAACTCCATTTTTTTCTATTGAATGAGTGCAAGAAACCACCCATTTACCAATTTCAACTATCCAGTACAGTGGTCAGAATTTAGCAATTTTGCCAATTTCACACAAATTTCAAAAGATGCCAATTTCCGAATAGGGTCCAGAATAAACAAGAAAGACATTCCTGGCACTAAAATGACATTTCCTCTGTTCATTAGTCACGTCCCAAGGCCCCTCTTACATTCTTTTGCTTTCCACTTCGAATTTTTATTCTCACAAAAAATAGAAGATTTACTGTTATGCAGACTACTGCATTAGTATTAAAAAATGGTATAAATAATGTTGGCACACTTGCGAGAGAATATTAGACTCACCAGTTGACATGTATTGGACGTTTGGCAAGATTTGTTTACTTTTGAATTTGGTAAAAATCGAACATTTCTGCTACTTTGAGCTCAATTTCAAGGTACTTTTCATTGTAAAACCAGTCAAAATCATTCAATTTCTGTAATATGTCTTCCATTCTATAAAATGAGACAAAGAAAACTAGAATACAACAATAAATACCATACAAAAATACAGTGCAAAGTCGCTGTTTTATTCCAAAAAAACGGTCAAAATTTTTTTTTTCTCATTATGCACTGTGTGCTGCGGGATTTTTTTTTATACTGTGCACACTGACCACATAGACCCATTCTTTCATATGTAGGCCTACCAGCTTTCTCCCACTAGATTTGAGAGCGCTAGAATTTAGGCGTACTAGTACGTCAAAAACCCTGGGTCGTAAGCCATACTAGTACGGCCGAAACCCTCAAAGGGTTAATGAAATATACATTAGCAGTTTTGAACTATAGTATTGGCACCCCTATGGCAAGACAGTGATAGAGTGAGTGACGTTGAAAGTGCTTCTGTTTTAGGTCACCATGCTTCGGTGGGAGAAGGCCGTTTTGTTAAAAAAAAAAAATGTACAGGTCTCCCTCAACATTCGCAAGGGTTAGGGGATCAAGAACCTCGCGAATGTTCAAAAATCGCGAATGTTTGGTGCCCCAATATATTGTAGGGAAATATAATACAATACTGCTTCCTTAACCTATTGAGCCATGAACAATCATAAAACACATGATAAAGAAGGTGAGAAAAACTATAGAATTCAAGAAAGAACTTGTAGCAGAGTACCAGAGTGGAGGAGGAAGAGAGAGGGGAGAATGTGCCTTATTCAGTGATTCTGTGATATGTACGATACTAAAGCAGCATGAATTGATAAAGGCTATAGCGCCAGCCAGCGATAAAGTGTAGCATTAACAATGTAGCAAGTAAGTTAAGCGATTAATCGATAGAAAAACGACAACACGAACCTAACTCCTCCAATCTTGTTGGAGTTATATAGGGCGACTGACAACACCGCCGTCTTCTAGTCTCTACCTCTGCTGCTGCCTCCACCACCACTATGTACGGCTTATCCTCTCAGTGGCCCTTATACATCCAACAACAACAACACAGCAACACTCATAATATAATGACGTATTTTATTCATTCTAGAGTATGTGTCATGTTTCTCTGTTATTATTTTTGTTTATTATGTCATATTAGATGAATTGTGATAGATAAATAAGCTGTAGAGTTGATATTAGTGTCATATTGAAGGACCCTCTTGTCCTATCTCCAAATTGTCCTATCTCCAAACAAACTCTGCCACTGCCACAATTCCTAACATATGTAATGACAATTTAAATATGATTGGGCGGCTGAGAATTCATGAATGTTCAAAGCCCGCTGAAGTGGAAAAACATGAATGTTGAGGGAGTCCTGTATATATTTATGTCATACTTCAATCTAAAAAGTATTGCATTTGAATGAATATCAGATAACTTCAACAAAAACCTGCACTTAGGAAATTAATCTTGGGATAACATTTTGGTCTGTCCTGGACCATTGTCAGATCACAGCTGAATGAGAAAATGTCAGAGAAAGCCAGAAGAGAGAATGGGGGCAGGTGGCAGCAGCAGCAGGTAAGTCACTGCTGCCACCACCAGTAACCAGCAGCAAGTTGCAGCAGCAGCAGTGGCAGCAGTCAGCAGCAGTGGCAGCAGTCAGCAGCAGTGGCAGCAGTCAGCAGCAGCAGCAGCAGCAGCAGCAAGCAGCATTAATGAAGAGAAAGTAGCAGCAGTAATGATAATGAGGAAGTAGCTGCAGTAGTGGTAATGGTAAAACAAGTTGTAGAAGTAAAAGTAGAGTAGTAACAGTGAAAGAATCAGTAATAATGGTAGTAGTGTTAATGCAAAAGAAAAAGAGCAGAGAAGCACTGTAGGAGGGCTACTGGGATATAGGCATAGGACAAAACCCCGATAGGACAAAAACCACTCCTAAGTGTAGGTTTTTGGAGAATTGTTCCAGCCACACAGTATTGTGACTTTATATTTTGTATCAGATTGCTTTTATTAATATATTCTTTTTATTTTTTCTAGATGAGAGTATGGGTATTGTGTATAGCAATGGCTCAGGTTCTGTGTACCAGGAGCTGTTAGAATGGCTTACTTCAGACTTGGAGGACTTGCAGATAGCTGGAGCTCTTGCCATGGGAAATTTTGCAAGAAGTGGTGAGTGTTGGGCTTGTTTTTCTACTTCTCTCTTCAAACAATATTCTAGTTACTATCCAAAACAATATTTCAAACAGCTGAACATAGAACCTTACTTTAAAAACTTAGTTCCTTTATTCTTCAACTAATTTTTTCTTCATTGGTGCATCATACCTATTACTGGTTTTGAGAGTTGTCTGCCCTCACAGGCCAGCTTGAGGCCAAGCTTCCGTGTTGATTACCTGACCAACAATACTGTTGCTATTAGTGGTTAGCTGGCCCATGGAGCCAACATGGCCTGTTTGATCTGGCTCTTGGTGGAGGTAGTAGTTCAGTAGTTATTACGTGTATGTATGAGTATTTTGTTAGCATATGAATAAGGGGATAAGTCTGTTGAGTATACCTGGTAAAGTGTATGGTAGAGTTATTATTGAAAGAATGAAGAGTAAGATGGAGAGTAGGATAGCAGATGAACAAGGAGGCTTTAGGAAAGGTAGGGGGTGTGTAGACCAAGTGTTTACAGTGAAACATACAGGTGAACAGTATTTAGATAGGGCTAAAGAGGTTTTTGTGGCATTTATGGATTTGGAAAAGGTATATGACAGGATCCTAGGTAGTAGGTTGGTAGACAGCAACCGCCCAGGGAGGTACTACCGTCCTGCCAAGTGAGTGTAACACGAAAGCCTGTAATTGTTTTACATGATGGTAGGATTGCTGGTGTCCTTTTTTCTGTCTCATGAACATGCAAAATTTCAGGTACGTCTTGCTACTTCTACTTACACTCAGGTCACACTACACATACATGTACAAGCGTATATATACATACCCCTCTGGGTTTTCTTCGATTTTCTTTCTAGTTCTTGTTCTTGTTTATTTCCTCTTATCTCCATGGGGAAGTGGAACAGAATTCTTCCTCCGTAAGCCATGCGTGTTGTAGGAGGCGACTGAAATGCCGGGAGCAAGGGGCTAGTAACCCCTTCTCCTGTATATATTACTAAATTTGAAAGGAGAAACTTTGGTTTTTTCTTTTGGGCCACCCCGCCTCAGTGGGATACGGCTGGTACGTTGAAAGAAGAAAGATATGACAGGATGGATTAGGGGGGCAATGTGGCAGATATTGCAGGTGTATGGTATAGGAGGTAGGTTACTGAAAGCAGTGAAGAGTTTTTACAAGGATAGTGAGGCTCAAGTTAGAGTATGTAGGAAAGAGGGAGGTTATTTCCCAGTAAAAGTAGGCCTTAGACAAGGATGTGTGATGACACCGTGGTTGTTCAATATATTTATAGATGGGGTTGTAAGAGTAGTGAATGCGAGGGTCTTGGCAAGGGGTGTGGAGTTAAAAGGGAAAGAATCAAACACGAAGTGGGAGTTGTCACAGTTACTTTTTGCTGGTGACATTGTGCTCTTGGGAGATTCTAAAAAGAAGTTGCAGAGGTTGATGGATGAATTTGGCAGGGTATGTAAAAGAAGGTAGTAGGTTGGTAGACAGCAACCACCCAGGGAGGTACAACCATCCTGCCAAGTGAGTGTAAAATGAGAGCCTGTAATTGTTTTACATGATAGTAGGATTGCTGGTGTCTTTTGTCTGTCTCATAAATATGCAAAATTACAAGTACGTCTTGCTACTTCTACTTAGGCATAGGTAACACTATACATACACGTACACGTTTATTTATACACACTCATCTGAGTTTTCTTTGATTTTATCTTAATAGTTCTTGTGGGAGACGGCCGACTTGTTGAAAAAAAAAAAAAAAAAAAAAGTTCTTGTTCTTATTACTTTTCCTTTTATATCCATGGGGAAGTGGAATAAGAATCTTTCCTCCATAAGCCATGCGTGTTGTAAAAGTCAACTAAAATGCCGGGAACAATGGGCTAGTAACCCCTTTTCCTGTACAGAGTACTAAAAAGAAAAAGAAGAAGAAGAAAACTGTCAAAGTGGGATCTTTGAATGTGTGTGGATGTTGTGCAAATGATAAGAGATGATTGTGGATGCTACGAATGAGAAGAAGCTGGATGTCCTGGCTTTAAGCGAAATAAAGCTGAAAGGTGTGGGAGAGTTTCAGTGGAGAGAAGTAAATGGGATTAGGTCAGGGGTTTCAAATAGAGTTAGAGCTAAAAAAGGAGTAGCAATAATGTTGAAGGATAAGCTATGGCAGGAAAAGAGGGAGTATAAATGTATTAATTCAAGGATTGTGTAGAGTAAAATAAAGGTTGGATGTGAAAAGTGGGTCATAGTAAACATATATGCACCTGGAGAAGAGAGAAGTGTAGGGGATAGAGAGAGATTTTGGGAAATGTTGAGTGAGTGTGTGGGGAGTTTTGAACCAAGTGTGAGAGTACTTGTGGTTGAGGATTTCAATGCTAAAGTGGGTAAAAATGTTGTGGAGGGAGTAGTAGGTAAATGTGGGGTGCCAGGGGTAAATGAGAATGGGGAGCCTTTAATTAAGCTATGTGTAGAAAGAGGTTTGGTAATAAGTAATACATATTTTATGAAAAAAGAGGATAAATAAATATACAAGGCATGATATAGCACATATTGAAAGTAGTTTGTTAGATTATATATTGGTGGTTAAAAGGTTGATGAGTAGGCTTCAGGATGTACATGTTTATAGAGGGGCAACTGATATATCGGATCATTATTTAGTTGTAGCTACAGTTAGAGTAAGAGGTAGATGGAACATAAGGAAAATGGCAACAGCAAGTAAGAGAGAGATGAAAGTATATAAACTAAGGAAGGAAGAATTTTGGGTGAGACATAAGCAACTATTGTCAGAAAGGTGGGCTAGTGCATGTATGAGTAGGGGGGGGGGGGGGGGTTGAAGAGGGTTGGAATAGTTTTAAAATTGCAGTATTAGAATGTGGGGCAGAAGTTTGTGGCTATAGGAGGGTGGGTGCAGGAGGAAAGAGGAGTGATTGGTGGAATGATGAAGTAAAGGGTGTGATAAAAGAGAAAAAGGTAGCTTATGAGAGGTTTTTACAAAGCAGAAGTGTTATAAGAAGAGCAAAGTATATGGAGAGTAAAAGAAAAGTTAAGAGAGTGGAAAGGAGAGCAGATGATAGAGTGGGAGAGGCACTGTCAAGAAATTTTGATAAAAATAAGTAAAAAATTTGTAGATAAAGAAGTTAAGAAAGCCTGGGGAATGAATAGATTTGTCAGTTAAAAACAGAGTAGGAGAGTTAGTAGATGGGGAGATGGAGATATTGGGTAGATGGCGGGAATATTTTGAGGAACTTTTAAATGTCAACGAAGAAAGGGAGGCGGTAATTTCATGCACTTGTCAGGGAGGTATACCATCTTTTAGGAGTTAAGAAGAGCAGGATGTGAGTGTGGGAGAGGTGCATGAGGTATTACATAGAATGAGAAGGGGTAAACCAGCTGGATCTGATGGGATCATGACAGAAATGTTAAAAGCAGGGGGGAGGGGATATAGTGTTGGAGTGGTTGGTATTTTTGTATAATAAATGTATGAAAGAGGAAAAGGTACCTAGGGATTGGCAGAGAGCATGTATAATTCCTTTATATAAAGGGAAGGGGGACAAAAGAGATTGTAAAAATTATAGAGAAATAAGTTTACTGAGTATACCAGGAAAAGTGTATGGTAGGGTTATTATTGAAAGAATTAGAGGCAAGACAGAATGTAGGATTGCAGATGAGCAAGGAGGTTTTGGAGTGGGTAGGGGATGTGTAAATCAAGTGTTTACATTGAAGCATATATGTGAACAGTATTTTGATAAAGGTAGGGAAGTTTTCATTGCATTTATGGATTTAGAAAAAGCATACGATAGAGTGGATAGGGGAACAGTGTGGCAGATGTTACAAGTACATGTATATGGAATAGGTAGTAAGTTACTAAATGCTGTAAAGAGTTTTTATGAGGATAGTGAGGTTCAGGTTAGGGTGTGTGGAAGAGAGGGAGACTACTTCCCAGTAAAGGTGGGTCTTAGACAGGGATGTGTAATGTCACCATGGTTGTTTAATATATTTATAGATGGGGTTGTAAAAGAAGTAAATGCTAGGGTGTTGGGGAGAGGGGTGGGATTAAATTATGGGAAATCAAATACAAAATGGGAATTGACACAGTTACTTTTTGCTGATGATACTGTGCTTATGGGAAATTCTAAGGAAAAGTTGCAAAGGTTAGTGGACAACTTTGGGAGAGTATGTAAAGATAGAAAGTTAAAAGTGAACATAGAAAAGAGTAAGGTGATGAGGGTATCAAATGATTTAGATAAAGAAAAATTGGATATCAAATTGGAGAGAGGGAGTATGGAAGAAGTGAATGTTTTCAGATATTTGGGAGTTGACGTGTCAGTGGATGGATGTACAAAGGATGAGGTTAACCATAGAATTGATGAAGGAACAAAGGTGAGTGGTGCATTGAGGTATATGTGGAGACAAAAAACATTATCTATGGAGGCAAAGAAGGGAATGTATGAAAGTATAGTGGTACCAACACTCATTTGGGTTGTAAATGCTGCAGCGAGGAGGCGGTGGAGATGTCCTGTCTAAGGGCAATCTGTGGTGTAAATATTATGCAGAGAATTCGGAATGTGGAAATTAGGAGGTGTGGAGTTAATAAAAGTATTAGAAGGTTGAAGAAGGGTTGTTGAGGTGGTTTGGTCATTTAGAGTGAATGGATCAAAGTAGAATGACATGGAGAGAGTATAAATCTGTAGGGGAAGGAGGGCAGGGTAAGGGTCGTCCTCGAAAAGGTTGGAGGGGGGGGTAAAGGAGGTTTTGTGTTCAAGGGGCTTGGACTTCCAGCAAGCATGCGTGAGCGTGTTAGATAGGAGTGAATGGAGACGAATGGTATTTGGGACGTGACGAGCTGTTGGAGTTTGAGCAGGGTAATATTGAGTGAAGGGATTCAGGGAAACCGGTTATTCAGTGGTCCCCCGCTTTTCGTAGTTCCCGGCAATCGTAAAATTCGCCAATCATAGGGGTATTTTCGTATAAACAAGGACTCTCTTTTCATAGGTTGACTCACGAGTCGTAGTTCGTCCGGGACGCGTACACACGGCGTGGGCCAGGGCGGCAGCCAGTCTGGCATTGTTTACCAGTGAGCGAAGGTCCCCTCGAGTGCTCCAGCGAAATATTTCATAATATTCCATTTATTTTAGTGCTTGCAAGTACAGTGGACCCCCGCATAACGATTACCTCCGAATGCGACCAATTATGTAAGTGTATTTATGTAAGTACGTTTGTACGTGTATGTTTGGGGGTCTGAAATGGACTAATCTACTTCACAATATTTCTTATGGGAACAAATTCGGTCAGTACTGGCACCTGAACATACTTCTGGAGTGAAAAAATATCGTTAACCGGGGGTCCACTGTACTAAATAAGCTACCATGGCTCCAAAGAAAGCTCCTAGTGCCAAGCCTGTGGTAAAGAAGGTGAGAAATACAATTGAATTTAAGAAAACCATCATTGAACAATATGAAAGTGGTACAAGTGTGGCCGAACTGTCCAGGATGTATAAGAAACCCTACACAACCTTATGTTCCATAGTGGCCAAGAAAAATGAAATAAAGGATGCTGTTGTTGCAAAGGGAGTAACTATGCTGACAAAAATGAGATCACCAGTACTGGAAGAGGTTGAGAAGTTATTATTGGTGTGGATAAATGAGAAACAATTAGCAGGAGATACTCTTATGACTTCGTTTATTTGTGAAAAGGCTAGGCAGTTGCATGAAGATTTGGTAAAGAAATTGCCTGCAAATAGTGGTGAAGTGAGTGAATTTAAGGCCAGCAAAGGCTGGTTTGAGAGATTTAAGAACCGTACTGGCATACACAGTGTGGTAAGGCATGGTGAGGCTGCCAGTTCGGACCACAAAGCGGCTGAAAAATATGTGCATGAATTCCAGGAGTACATAGAGACTGAAGGACTGAAACCTGAACAAGTGTTCGATTGTAACGAAACAGGCCTCTTTTGGAAGAAAATGCCAAAGAGGGCCTTCATTACACATTTTAGGGAAGTGTTAAAGAGATGCCAGAAACAGAGCTCTCTCCACAGTTATTTTGTGAGACAGGACTCCAGTGACTCAAGGTGGTCCTAGTGGCATTAAGAAACAGAGAAGAGAAGCAACCCCAGAAAAGCAAATAGTACCTGAGGTGTTGATGGAAGGGGATTCCCCGTCCAAACTATAAACAATCCACTCTCTCTCCTCCTCCAGTCTCCCATACACTAAGAAGCATCTCCAATAAAGGTAAGTGTTATGCTGTTAATGTTTCATTCATCATTTTCCATTGTATTGTTTATGTACTACATGTATATTTCATGTTAAAAAATTTTTTGTTTTAATACTTCTGGGTGTCAGGAACGGATTAATTGTATTTACATTATTTCTTATGGGGAAAATTGATTCGTAAATCGTAAATTTCGTTTATAGTAACGGCTCCAGGAACGGATTAATTACGAACAACGAGGGACCACTGTATTTATATAGTCGGACTTGAGTACTGGAAATGGGAAGTACAATGCCTGCACTTTAAAGGAGGGGTTTGGGATATTGGCAGTTTGGGGGGATATGTTGTGTGTCTTTATACGTATATGCTTCTAAGCTGTTGTGTTCTGGGCACCTCTGCAAAAACAGTGATTATGTATGAGTGAGGTGAGAGTGTTGAATGTTGTAATAAAGTTGGTAGAATTACCGACAATATGTAAAGTAAAAGGACACAAGTGCAACTAATGTGACATTTATTGTGGCAACGTTTCGCTCTCCACGAGCTTTATCAAGCCATTACAAACAATACATGGACACAGAGGGTATATAAAGGCTGAGCCTTTATGGACACAGAGGGTATATAAAGGCTGAGCCTTTATGGACACAGAGGGTATATAAAGGCTGAGCCTTTATATACCCTCTGTGTCCATGTATTGTTTGTAATGGCTTGATAAAGCTCCTGGAAAGCAAAACGTTGCCACAATAAATGTCACATTAGTTGCACTTGTGTCCTTTTACTTTATGTGTTGAATGTTGATGAAAGTATTTTCTTTTTGGGGATTTTCTTTCTTTTTGGGTCACCCTGCCTCGGTGGAAGATGGCCAACGTGTTAAAAAAAAATGTAAAAGAAGAAAATTAAAAGTGAATATAGGAAAGAGTAAGGTTATGAGGATAACAAAAAGATTAGGTGACAAAAGATTGGATATCAGATTGGAGGGTGAGAGTATGGAGGAGGTGAATATATTCAGATATTTGGGAGTGGACGTGTCAACAGATGGGTCTGTGAAAGATGAGGTGAATCATAGAATTGATCAGGGAGAAAGGGTGAGCGGTGCACTTAGGAATCTGTGGAGACAAAGAACTTTGTCCTTGGAAGCAAAGAGGGAAATGTATGAGAGTATAGTTTTACCAATGCTCTTATATGGGTGTGAAGCATGGGTGATGGATGTTGCAGCGAGGAGAAGGCTGGAGGCAATGGAGATGTCATGTCTGAGGGCAATGTGTGGTGTTAAATAATGCAGAGAATTCGTAGTTTGGAAGTTAAGAGGAGGTGCGCGATTGCCAAAACTGTTGTCCAGAGGGCTGAGGAAGGGCTGTTGAAATGTTTGGAGATGTAGAGAGAATGGAATGAAACAATGGAGGGAAGGCGGGTCAGGGGTCGGCCTAGGAAAGGTTGGAGAGGGTAAAGGAGGTTTTGTGTGCAAGGGGCTTGGACTTTCAGCAAGCATGCGTGAGCATATTTGATAGGAGTGAATGGAGACAAATGGTTTTTAATTCTTGACGTGCTGTTGGAGTGTAAGCAAAGTAACATTTATGAAGGGATTCAGGCAAACCAGCAGGCTGGAGATGGGAAGTACAGTGTCTGCACTCTAAAGGAGGAGTGTTAATGTTACAGTTTTATAAACTGTAGTGTAAAGCACCCCTCTGGCAAGACAGTGGTGGAATGAATGATGAAAGTTTTCTTTTTCGGGCCACCCTGCCTTGGTGAGAACCAGCCGATGTATTAATAACAATATAAAAAAATGAATCCTGGTTTGGTTGTCTGGATTTCCACTGTTGTCAAATTTCAATTTGATTTCTTGAAAAGAATTTCCCTTTGTAATGAAGTTATATCTCGTTCTCTTATTTTTGCTCTTTACCATATACAGTGGACCCCCGGTTTACGATATTATTTCATTCCAGAAGTATGTTCAGGTGCCAGTACTGACCGAATTTGTTCCCATAAGGAATACTGTGAATTAGATTAGTCCATTTCAGACCCCCAAACATACACATACAAACGCACTTGCATAAATACACTTACATAATTGGTCGCATTGGGAGCTGATCGTAAACCGGGGGTCCAATGTATAGTGAAAAACCAGTAGCTGAAAAAGGTACTACAGCCTCTCCTCACTTAGCTATGTACTCGTTTACTGACACCTCGGACTTACGACGGGCTCTCTCACCAGTATTTCTACCTAAATACAGTGGTACCTCAAAATACGAACTTAATTTGTTCCAGATGGCTGTTCAAGTGCTGATACCAAACGAATTTGTTCCCACAAGGAATAATGTAAATTAGATTAATCCGTTTCAGACCCCCAAAAATACACTTACAAAAGCACTTACATAAATACACTTACATAATTGTTCAAGTTTTCAGCTGTTCGTATCCCGAGGTACCACTGTATTGTGTAATAGAGCTAATTTCCTCAATTCTGTTTATTACAATATACAGTACACTGCTGTATAAACATTTAAAAATATACCAGAAATGTTATAAATAGTGTAAAGGTGACATTTAAACATTATCAAAGATTGTTGACACAAATCCACTACCATTAGAGTATGCTCCTCATTTAGTGACGAATTCGTTTACCAATGGGGTCTTAGGTCCCTGTCTCCGTTGTTAAGTGAGAAGAGGCTGTATTTACATGTGGTGTTATCTTGCTCCAAAATTAATCTGTACCTGTGCCTGTACAGATGCTCACTGCATTCAGATGGTAGAAAGTGGAATTGCTGAGAAATTGCTTAAAGTTCTGTCAAGCCACAACTCTGGTGAAGGAGACATTCGACTGCAGCATGCTCTTCTGTCAGCCCTTCGCAATCTCAGTATTGCAAAGGAGAATAAGCCAGTACTAGTAAACCAAGTATGTGCAGTACAGTATGTGGATTTTTTTTACATTATCAGTTTTGTGGTTGTTTTCACCAGTAAATTTAAATTATTTTTCATTATGTATATCCCTTTCCCTAGTAATTTATGTACATAATGAATATGTGCATAAAATTTGCCTTCATAATTTTGCCATTGACAGTTTTAACTTTTCACTGAAAGCTATTGCTGTACTATCTTGCAGTGCCATAATCAATTGACTTTGCATTTTCTGAATTCACTGTTTTCTCTTACATCTTTTAGACTTGAACTGTTTTCTTTTTAATTATTTTGTTCTTTATATTGTATCACTTACATTTTTATACTTCGTCATTTATTGAATCTTTCGTCATAATTCCCACACATCTTGTTTCTCAGTGCATATAAGAAGTAAATTGATTCAAACATCAAAATATACTGCTCATATATACATGTTACATGTTGTTTCTTAAAAAAATATTCGTATACAGGTCCACATCCCTTTATCCAAAGCCCTTGAGGCCAGTGTTATTTCGAATTTCAGAATTTTTCGAAGTTCAGAATGCTTCTCAACGCTGCCACGTGGCGGGGTGACCCAGCACTGAGATGACTGACGCACCACACTCCACGAAAAACCTTTGGTTTTCGTAACTTTTCCAATTTCAGAATTTCGGATAAAGGGTTGTGGACCTGTATATGTAATTAACAGTGCAATGTATAATACTTTACCTGAGAAGCACGTGATGAGTGGTGGCTTATGGCAGGTGGTGATGATAACCCCTTTTCTTGAATAACCTCTCCCTAATTCACACAGTCAGTACTATAAAGCAGTGGTTGAGAGGATTATTGTTAGAGGGGTTCACATACACTACTGTACCTCTATTTCTAATTTTTATGAAGTGAGAAGGCTTTTGCACAGGAAAAGAAAATTGAGCATTGGAAGAAAATGTATTACAATAATAAAAGCATTATATTAAATCATTAATAAAATTAATTAGTGGAAATGGATGCAAATGGTTTTTGGGACTTGATGAGCTGTTGGAGTGTGAGCAAGGTACCATTTGTGAAGAAATTCAGGAAAACTTAGAGTCCTGGAGGTGGGAAGTACAGTGCCTGCACTCTAAAGGAGGGGTGGGGATACTGACTGTTTGGAAGGACATCTGAATTGTAGTAATGGCATGCCTCAGTGGGAGATGGCTAGTGTGTTAAAAAGAAATTAGTACATATCTTGAATAATATTTTAATTTTTTCAGGGTGCTCTTGATGTTCTTCTTCCAATGGCAACTGCAATTGAGACTTTCCCAGTGGTTTTTAAACTTTTAGCAACACTTCGTATGATCATTGATGGACAAACAGAAGCTGCTGTTAAGGTGAGAAATTTATAGTAAATATTGTGATCACAGCTTACTTTTGGCAGACAGCAATTGAATAATTGAAGGTGAAGGTGTTTTCTTCTTTGGGTCATCCTGCTTTGGTGAGAGACAGCCATTAAGGTATAAAAAATATTAATTCTATTACATATTAGAAAGGTCCCTTTATATAAAGGGAAGGGGGACAAAAGAGATTGTAAAAATTATAGATGAATAAGTTTACTGAGTATACCAGGAAAAGTACTGTATACGGTAGGGTTATGATTGAAAGAATTAGAGGTAAGACAGAATGTAGGATTGCGGATGAGCAAGGAGGTTTCAGAGTGGGTAGGGGATGTGTAGATCAAGTGTTTACATTGAAGCATATATGTGAACAGTATTTAGATAAAGGTAGGGAAGTTTTTATTGCATTTATGGATTTAGAAAAGGCATATGATAGAGTGGATAGGGGAGCAATGTGGCAGATGTTGCAAGTATATGGAATAGGTGGTGAGTTACTAAATGCTGTAAAGAGTTTTTATGAGGATAGCAAGGCTCAAGTTAGGGTGTGTAGAAGAGAGGGAGACTACTTCCCAGTAAAAGTAGGTCTTAGACAAGGATGTGTAATGTCACCATGGTTGTTTAATATATTTATAGATGGAGTTGTAAAAGAAGTAAATGCTAGGGTGTTCAGGAGAGGGATGGGATTAAATTATGGGGAATCAAATACAAAATGGGAATCAACACAGTTGCTTTTTGCTGATGATACTGTGCTCATAGGAGATTCTAAAGAAAAATTGCAAAGGTTAATGGATGAGTTTGGGAGTGTGTGTGTAAAGGTAGAAAGTTGAAAGTGAACACAGAAAAGAGTAAGGTGATGTGGGTATCAAATGATTTAGATAAAGAAAAATTGGATATCAAATTGGGGAGGAAGAGTATGGAAGAAGTGAATGTTTTCAGATACTTGGGACTTGATGTGTCGGCAGATGGATTTATGAAGGATGAGGTTAATCATAGAATTGATGAGGGAAAAAAGGTGAGTGGTGCGTTGAAGTATATGTGGAGACAAAAACGTTATCTATGGAGGCAAAGAAGGGAATGTATGAAAGTATAGTAATACCAACACTCTTATATAGGTGTGAATGCAGCAGTGAGGAGGCAGTGGAGATGTCCTGTCTAAGGGCAATGTGTGGTGTAAATATTCTGCAGAAAATTCGGAGTGTGGAAATTAGGAGAAGGTGTGGAGTTAATAAAAGTATTAGTCAGAGGGCTGAAGAGGGGTTGTTGAGGTGGTTTGGTCATTTAGAGAAAATGGATCAAAGTAGAATGACATGGAGAGCGTATAAATCTGTAGGGGAAGGAAGGCGGGGTAGGGGTCTTCCTCGAAAAGGTTGGAGGGAGTGGGTAAAGGAGGTTTTGTGGACGAGGAGCTTAGACTTCCAGCAAGCATGCGTGAGATTGTCAGATAGGAGTGAATGGAGACGAATGGTATTTGGGACCTGGCGATCTGTTGGAGTGTGAGCAGGGTAATATTTAGTGAATGGATTCAGGGAAACCGGTTATTTTTATATAGCCGGACTTGAGTCCTGGAAATGGGAAGTACAGTGCCTGCACTCTAAAGGAGGGGTTTGGGATATTAGCAGTTTGGAGGGATATGTTGTGTATCTTTATAGGTATATGCTTCTCAGCTGTTGTGTTCTGAGCACCTCTGCAAAAACAGTGATTATGTGTGAGTGAGGTGAAAGTGTTGAATTAGGGTGAAAGTATTTTCTTTTTGGGGATTTTATTTCCTTTTTTGGGCCACCCTGCCTCGGTGGGAGACGGCCGACTTTTAAAAAAAAAAAAATTAGAAAGGCTCAGTTGTATTAAATGGCAGGGGAAGAGGCAGAAAGGAGTGAGTTTATTATGCTAGGAAGTGGAAAATGAGAGTTAAACCATATATGCTTATTATTAAAATATTCTTATAAAGCTTTTTTTTTTCTTTCTTTCTTTTTTTTTTTTTCTCTCTCTCTCTCTCTCTCTCTCTCTCTTTAGGTGGGTAGCAATAGTGAAGCAGTAGGTCGGTTAGTTGCGTGGTGTGGCACTACTGATCACCCTGGTGTTCAGGGAGAATCTAGCAGACTTCTGGCATGGATCATCAAAAACTGTGGTGGGGACTCCTCAGTCATCACATCACTAGTATCTGCTGGCTGTGTTGCTCCTTTGGTCCTCATGTTGGGATCAGAGCATGCTGTCATGGTTAATGAAGCTGCCCTAGCTCTTGTGCTCGTATTTGGAACAGTAGTCACTGGAAATGTGGTTGAGAAGACCAAATTAGCTGAAGTGGCTACATTTGTGCTGAAGAATCCATATTTGCCACCTGAAATCATGTCCAATGTGCTGTCAATGATGATAGCACTGTCTGCTAATGGTATGTTGCTAATTATTAATTTCTAATATCTTTCAAGACTATTTAGAAAAAATTAGATTACCAAAAGTGAGAAGCAATTATCTGACCATCCTGGTTTATTTTTTAATATTTTTGAGAGTACATTTAACTATCCTTTTTTTTTTTTTTTTTTTCTTTCTTATACTATCCAGTACTCCTTTTCAGCCTAACCCCTTTCATTTTACTCATGCCATTTTTTTGTCATTGACTAACATATATCTATTGTTTACCACCCTATTCATTCCTAAAGCAGGCATTATCTTGTTATGGCAGTCTGTAATCTTTCTATTAATTTATAGATTTTTGTCTTTTAACTTTAGCATATCTTGACAGATGTTTTACAATATACGTATCTTATTAGCAGGACCATTTTTCCCTGTATATATTTTATGATTCACTTGAAAAGGAGCAAAGATAATTTGAAGTTTGAGAGATATAGCACATTATGTTTATGTCAGGGTGGTCCATCCACTGGCCCATGAGACTATTTTGTACTGCCCACAGACCACAGAGAGCTACAAAGACTGTAGAACCAATGACATATTCAATGCATTCCTTAAACTCATTGATTAACATTAATCATACCAAGCCCACAATCTGGAAATGAAAACTGGATGATGTTTTGATCTATCTCCTAGTAACTTAGTGATTAGTGTATTATTTAATAGATCTCTGTAATTTATCCGAATAATAGATCAGAAGTATTTGATTAGAAAATAATATTTTATTACTCTAAATATTTTCAGAGACTGCCCTGGAGTCTGTCAAAACTGATGACCTTCGAACAGCTGTTAGTGAGCTCACCAGTCATAACAATGAGCAGGTCAAGAACCTGGCAGGGGCACTTAAGGAGAAACTGTAATTCAAGATAGCATATCTTTATGCTTTTCTTAGCTCTGTGTATCTTCAAAGTTGAACAAAATATTTTTGAGCTGACTGAACACAGGAATTATTACAGAAAGTTGTTTGCCTTATATTGATACTGTTATGGAGGCTGCTGGAATCTGACCTTAAGAAAAGCAGTTTTATATGAAGTTGTCCAGGGTTGGTTTAAACAGAAATGTAATTATCCTAGATTCCTACTGTCAGATGTTATGTGAAAATTTTTCACTTTAAACAAAAACACTGACTTCATGTTGATAATTATGAGATTTATGGTAAACTAACCCTTGATAATTAAGGATTGTTATAACAGGGTTATAAGATAATCAAGATTTTTGTTCCTTTGCACTGGTGGCTGCAGCTTTTAAGTAATATGGTAGAGAGAATGGTACAAGTGGTTAATCAGGAAATGGCTGCAGATTCCTACAATTCAACATTAGAACAGAATTGTGTATATATCACTGGTAATTGAGAGGATATCATGACCTTTAATGTGATAAGATTTTTATTGTTAAATATGCAGCTTGTTACATAAAAAAATTAGTAAATTGTTTTTAGAAACAAGGCTTATAGCTAATCAAAATACTCATAATGTCACTGTCTTATTCTAATATTCGGACTACCCTTGTATACTAATTAAAGTTACATTTTATGAAAAGTTATTTTTAAGTTGTATTTGCAAGGTTGTCATTTGTACATTTATGATTTTGTTTTTCATGAACTACATGAAATTGTATTGTAATGGACAAGTACAGTTGTGATATCTTAGCTTTATAATGTGAAGTGTAAATTAAGCTTTAAAATTGGAGGTAAAACCCAAAACTCTATAGATCTTATTCAGAATATTATCTTCATGACTTCTGGAGTTAAACTTCTTTTACTTTGATTAAGTTATAGTTAAGAAGTTAAATCAGTAGTTAGGTGATTAGCACATATGGCTAGGAGTGTACATCTTTGATAAACTTCCCTAACTTTTGAGGAAGTACAGCATGGTAAAGTATCCATTCTTGGCGCAGTTAACTGTTATTTAACCCTTTGACTGTCGCAAGCCCATTTCTGAAACTCTCATTCTGCGTTGCAAAATATTCGGGAAAAAAAAAATTTTTTTCTTACCAAAATGTTAGGATTATTTTACTGAGTGTTTTAAGCCTAAAAAAAATTTTTTGCCATCAGTACTTGCCGAGATATAGAAGCAAAGTTGGCAGAAAATGAGCCGCATATGGCAACAGCGACGAATGCCGTTCACCCAGTATTCTTTTATTTACTCTAATTCGAAGGTTTCTTGTATTTTCCAATATTTTTCTTTTCTAAGTAACTTATGTGGCCTGTGAGACCAAAGTAAGGTGCATTGTTCAAATATACACTCATTATTTACAACACAATAGCTGTACAAACTATCACTATTAGAGTGTTTATAATACTTGTTTACACAAACAAACAATACAAAACATTGTTTATTACTATTGTTCTATAATATACATACAGATGTACAGTCACTGAACACTTCTAGAACTGCTGCAGCTTGTGAAAGTCTTCGAAACATGGGTATATGCAGAGTGGTACTTGACACTCCTCACACATAAAACAAGTGTCTCTGCATTTTTGTGGCCGTTTTGTGGTATGTTCACATACAAAACACCTCTTCTGAGCACTTTTCTTGAAAGCAGTAGAAGGCATTTGTATGGGGTAGTGATCACCAGGTCTCAAACGAGATGGCATGTGTTGGTAATTTTGTGGGCGCTGATCTATTGCAGGTGTTGTTCCCTGGTACTCGAATATTATTTGTCTGATGACTGACAAACAAAATTCACCATATTTTGGTTTGTTGTTGGTCTTCAACTTGTAGATGTTGTAAGAATTCAGCATGGAAATATCAAGAAGATGGAAAAAAAGTTTTATGTACCACTTGTAACTCTTGCATACACAATCAGCAAACCTAATCTGCATGTCACATTTGTTCACTAAGTGCATATTGAGGTTGTAGTCTATGACAGCTGCAGGTTTTAGAATGGGTTCATTGTATCTCTATTCTGCCTGCCACTATCTGCCATTTCATTTCGGTGAACTGATGTCAACAATGTGACATAACGTTTGTCATGCCACCGAAATGCCATGATGTCATTGGCAGCAAAGGCCTGCACCTCACCTTTGCGAGTGCCAGCGTCGAACCTTGGCATATACTTACGATTACCACGCACTGTGCCACACACGTCTGTCATGTTCACTCACAAGAAATCACTGAGTAAAGGGCTTGTGTACCTGTCAGTATATAATATATGCCCCTTACCAAGATATGGTTCCATCATTGTTCTTACCACATCACCAGAGATACCCAGTAACTTCCTGGTATCTCTCAATGTATTACTGCCAGTGTACACAATTATATAAAAAGCCAGACCACTTTTGCAATCACACAGTACAAATAACTTTATACCAAAGCGTTTCCTCTTGCTTGGTATGTACTACTTGAATGAGAGTCTTCCTTTGAACAAAATCAAAGACTCATCAATAACAAGCTTCCTGAGGGAATAAAAATACATACAGCACTTTTGTTTCAGGTACATAAACACATTTCTGATCTTATATAACCTGTCGCTTCTGTCAGGCCTTGTTTTGTCTGAAAAGTGTAACATACGTAACAGTATCAAAAAACGATCGACTCCTATAATATCACTAAAACCTGGGGTTGAAATCAGGTGTTCCGTCGACCAGTATGTGGTGACAGTGTGTTTATACACATGTGGCATAAGCATTATTGTGGCAAAGAACAGGTACATCTCTGCCACAGTTGTGTCCTTCCACTTGTGTAACCATGACCTTGGTGAAAGAATTGTATTTGCCATAGTTTACTCGCACTCATAGTATGTGTTGCTTTCCCAGACATTAATTTCCATCAGGGGTTCATCAACGAATAACTGAAAGCATTCGAGTTCAGTGGCATTGTTCCCAAGTGTACACGATGGCTGTATTCCACTGTGTTTGATCAAAGTCATGGGGATTGGGAATAAAATTGTCGCCTTGCTGCCAGTCCCAAATGTGGTCTGCTGGTGGGTTCTGGATATTGAAAAGTGGTTGTGGTTGTGCAGGTTGTGGTTGTGGATGTTGTGGGAGTGTGGGGTTGGGTGAGGCTGGTTGTGCTTGTGCAGAGTCAGCAGCGTCAGTAGTAGCGTGGCCCGCTGCTGGTGCCACATGACTCGTGCCACCACCATCACCTTCCCCACGCACATTACACATCCCCATTGTAACAATATCGTCATCTTCACTGTCAGGTCATGGTGTAGAGCCACAGGATGTACTCCCAGATTTACTCCTTTGCCTTTGGAAGGGCATAAGGCACATTACCAGAACGCATGCTGCGTCGTACATACTCCTGTTTCACTGGCAAATATTCCCCCTTACTGTCGCAACTCGAGCTGCTTTCAATAACTTTAAATCACTATCATTATCACTTTCGCTGCTCAGATCTGAGTCCTGTAAACGGGGAAATAGTTTCCTTTTTCGTCCTGGTACAGTTGAATGTGAATGAGATCTGCCAGCACCAGAGGTGGACGGTTTTGGGTCATCTGGGTTTTCATCACTAATTACGTTATCCTGGGCACTGCTTTCGGTCACACCCTCTCTAAAACCATGAAATTCACTTTCACTGGCACTTCCATCGCTGTTAGAACTATCACTTGGGAACAGTAGACCTCCAATCCGCCGAGGAGTGAGGTACTTCTTACCATGAGGCATGGTGAAAAGTGGACTACCACGATAGCATTCCCACAATGCACCACCGAGTCCCAGATTTTTTTCACAGGGTGCACACCCACCCTGCAGACCCATTCTCTCTCATGTAGGCCTACCAGCTTTCTCCTGCTTGATTTGAATCCGCTAGAATTTACGCGTATTAATACGTCGGAAACATTGGCTCGTAAGACGTATTTATATGACCGAAACAGTCAAAGGGTTAATGTGGACTTGGTTGTTTAAACTATTTATACACAGTGATCTGGTCTCTGGATACAGGCATGCTGCTAACAGTACAAGCATAGAGCAAGCTTTTATTTTGACACCATTTTGTACTGTGTGGAGCTGTAGTAAGTCAGTGACTTGATAAGGCTCTACACAAAAGCTTGCTCTGCACCTGTGTTGTTTCTTTGATTTGGTCCATAATGCTTAACTTGGTAGGAAAACAGCAAAGCAGTCTTCAGGTATAAGGAGTTACTAAAGAATACTAAAATGTCTGTTCTATTGTGACATGTATTTTGTGAATTTTCTTGTCATCCATTTAGTTTTACTTAAACTAATTTAAAGTGAAATTATGAACTAGAAATATAGCCAGTTTTCCTTAAGATAGAAGAATATAAAGACTATTGACCTGTATGTGGAATCTCTTATATATAAACATCATACAGATGTTGATAACCCTGAGACTTTTATATGATTAACTTGTGTTCAGAGTATGTACTGTATGTTGGTCAGGTAGTTGGGTTGGTTGTACATGATTGACATAAGCTTGCTTACAAGTAAATATATTAACACCACATTAAATGTTTCCACATATTTATACAAGGAAAGACTGTGATAAAGTACTCTTGTTATAAACTTTAATTAAACTTCTATCATAGGTATGTGGTATCACATGAAAAGTACTGCAGTTATACCGTAGTCTTACTTTATTAGATATAAAAAATGCGCTAAATACTGGTACCTTTCTTGAGGAACCAGGTTTAGCACTTAGTGTGATTATATTATTATTATTATTATTATTATTATTATTATTATTATTATTATCATCATCATTGTTGTTTTCTTGAAGAAAGTCACCCTGAGTATGGAAATTCTCGTATCTCCTATAAGGTTGATATGTATAGATTTAAACTTTTGAGCAATCCAAGATATTTTAATTGTGTTCATAAAAGTAAAACATAGGTTTCACAAGGAAAAGCAATTACAGTAACTTCTTTTGAATAGATGTATGTCTTGGCCTCTGAATAACACCTTTATAATTGTCAATGTTTTGCATTAATCAGGGTTGAACATAATCAGGATCTGATTATGTGCAATTCTGCACTAACCAATAACATTATCAGTGGAGTACTGTGGTGGCCTGGGTAAGTCAGGGCTTTAAAGGTAGTGACCCCCTGGAACCATCACCAAGTAAACACTGCACTAAGTGCATATAAATTGGTGCAATATGATGAAGAAGGGGGGAGGGTGAAGGAGTGGGAAGTTAAAATTGTGGAACACCCCCCCCCCCCTCCAAAAAAAAATCAGTGCTAATATAGTAAAATAAGTTTCTTGTTTATAGAAAAATTACTTTTAATTTTTTTTATTTCTGTCATGTTCTCAAAATTGGGAAGCTGATAAAGTGTACGATGGTACATTGCAATTCAATTCTAAGTGACAAGTGAGAAACAAAATTGTAGACTGTGTTGTTGAAGAAAATAAACCACTATTATTGTCTGGTACAGTATATCCCCATAAGATAAGCTGTCTTCCTAAAGCCTTGGGTAGTTATATATTAATGCTGCTTTTTAATGTAATAACTTAATTATTCCAGCCAGTATGAAATTATTATAGAGAATAGAAGAATATACATGGGCATTAAAGTTTGTTTAGATTTTGAAGAACTAGTCAGTACTCAAATGTAATAACTTTAGAAACATTATTAATTTCTTAAGGTTGTGGTGAATTATTACTTAGGCCTCTGGTTGCCAACAAGTTATTAAAACTGTCGCAGAATTTTGTGAAGTCTCTGACAGTAGTCATCTTGGGTGTATTGCGAGATCAATTCCTTTAAGAAAATAGTGAAATACAGGAAAGAATACCAAGAGTTTGTTTAGGTTTTTTTTTTTTTTTTTTTTTTTTTTTTAACTTAAGCATGTGTAGGTTTCAAGAGAATGTGTTGCAAATACAGTATTTTAATCATATTTAACATTTTCATTAAATTTTATGTTTAGATCCTTATTGTTGTATCATGCTTTATTAATGAAACCCTTCATCATAGTATTTTGAAAGTTTTTATTTGATTTGACCATGTACAGAAGAGGAATTTTTTGGACAGTCAGTTTGAAGGGTGTTTGCATTCACTTCCTATTAAGGCTTGGAATACTTAAAGGTAATGGCAAAATTATTTAACTTGTTACCCCATCTGAGAAGGGATGCTTTGCTTTCTGTAGTTGTGTTAGATTTTTTATACCATTTACAAAGGTAATGTTTAATTGTTCTTAATATAACTTGTCTGTTATAGCTTTCACAAATACATGTTTCATCTATATGTACTGTATACAGTATGCAAGTTCCTTTTTTAATCTAGAGTTGGTTAAAAGTAGTTTCAGGTTCCATATCTTTTTGTCATAAACCTTCACGTTTTACACACTGACATAGAAAGCTGTATGTAACTTAAAGAAGTTCTTGTCTGTGTTTCTTTTAAGAGTTGGATGGTATTAATGACAATAAAAAGGAACCAGATAACTTGGGACCCACAGTAAAAAAATTAATAGTATATAGTGATTGTGATACAGTGTATACAATTACTTGGGACCAATATGAAATGTCATTTCTAGAATTACTAATCCTAGGATATAACACACCGGACAATACAGGTTCCTAGTTCATGACTCTATATATTTTAGTTACCCGGTATGCAATTGTCTGTTGAAGTTCAGTATTATCTAGTTTATTGTATCTGGATACTCCATTTTCTATTAGTGTGAAATTAAATAAATTTAGTAATGTTTTAATGTTGCCATAAAATCTGAGACTAGCATCAGTTTGTTCATTGTATTTAAATCAGATGACTACAAAATGTGGCAGATATATATTTCAAGTTTCATCCTCTGCTCAAGGTGTGACCCAACATATTCAACTGAATTGTGAAGGAAAAGGAAGATTTGGTTCATAAAGCATGTAGTTGGTGGTTTTTATACAGTTTGTTTTGTTATAATTTTTTATTATTTGTTTAAACACAGGCTTTATATTCTCTCATGCAGACTGTGTATTTGTTTGCACAAATATTTACTTGCTCATTTACATGTAAATTCTTGATATTCCTTCAAATATGCATATAGTATATGTATGCACAACACATGCAAGTAGTCATACATTTGTTGGTATTTTGAAAAGATTCACATGTCGAGTATTGTACGTGGTGTTTTATATTTGGCTATTAAAGAGTGGTTTTAGTATAGCTAAAGAATAATTATTATTTGAGTTGTAAATAATTCATATTTTTTGGTAGGTAAATGCTACTTATGGAAGCTGAAACACACTGATCATGGTTTTACTTCATAAGAATTGCTTACATTTCAGGTGCTCTTGAGTTGTGGATATACTCAGTGACTTTATTGGCAGTAAATATTTTAACATGTGCAGCTTGCCTTTAAGTAAGAGAACTTATTTGTGTTTAAATAAGTAAACTATTGGTATTGGTATTTTGAATTTTATTCATATCTATATGCCACATCTGCATGCTACAGCTCTTACAGTCCTTTTGTGTCTTTTCAATCTTATTTGGGTGTGAGGGGGTTCTTCCTCAACAGTGGAAATCTGCCATTGTACTCCCATTTCACAAACCAGGCACCTTGGGGCTTGATACCTCTTGCTATCATCCCATTGCTCTGACCAGTGTTGTCTGCAAGGTGATGGAAAGACTGGTGAATGGATGTCTGATATGGTATTTGGAGACTCACAGTAGTCTTTCCCCTCGCCAATGTGGCTTTCACAAGGGCCACTCTACTTTGAACCCTTTGTTCCACTGAGATACGTATGTGCAAAATGCCTTTGGTAACAAACACTCCGTCCTAGCAGTCTTTTTTGATCTCGAGAAGGCACATGACACCACTTGGAAGTATAACATTTTAGCCCAAGCCCACTCCTTAGGCCTTTGCAGTAATCTACCAGCTTTCCTCTCTGACAGACATTTTCATCTCCGTGTTGGCACCTCAGTTTCCTCAGACTTTGTTCAGGCCGAGGGTGTCCCACAAGGTTGTGTCCTTAGCACTACCCTCTTTCTCTTGGCTATAAATGACCTACGTTCTGTTCTTCCATTGCATATTTGGTCGTCACTTTATGTGGATGACTTCACTATAGCTTATGCAGGCGCTGATTGTCACCTGGTAGCGACCTCCTTTCAGAATGCAATTGACTGAGTTTCCCATTGGGCCACTTCTTATGGATTTAAATTTTTAGTACAAAAACCCATTTCATTACCTTCACTAGATGTCCTCTTGTCCCAGATATTCCATTGTACAGTGGAACCCCAAATATTGGCCTTAATTCATTCCAGAAGGCTGTTCGAGTGCTGTTACCGAACAAATTTGTTCCTATAAGGAATAATGTAAATTAGATTAGTCCATTTCAGACCCCCAAAAATACACTTACATAATTGTTCAAGTTGGGAGCTGTTTGAAATTCAAGGTACCACTGTACACCTACCATCCGACTTATGACCAACCAGTCGTAAGTCGAACCTTACTACTGAATATCAACATTACATTTTTGTAATGATTTTATTTTATTGTTTTATTTTGGTATTTTCATTTTTTACTCTACTTTTTATGCTGTTAGTACTGTATTTTATGTTGTAAGGTTTAGGATAGGTACTGTGTACAACACAAACAGTTGTTTATTTCCCAGAAATTTGGCATACTAAACTTGGTCGTAAGTCAAGTGGTCATATGTCGAGCAGATCATAAGTCGGATGGTATGTGTATTTACATGGCTCACTTATTCCATAATGTGATACAGTCAAGTTTCTTGGCCTTCTCTTCAATCACTGGTTGACATGGAAACCTCACATTTCCTCTTTGAAGGCAGCTTACCATGGTTGGCTGAATCTTCTTAATATTCTTGCGCATTGTTCATGGGGAGCAGATCGTTGGACTCTCCTCCATTTGTATTCCACTCTAGTCCTGTCCAAGCTGGATTATGGCAACCAAGTCTATTCTGCCGCTTCTCCTACCACTCTTTCTAAGTTAGATCCCCTTCACCATCAGGATCTACGTTTATGCCTTGGTGCCTTTTGTTCATCCCGTTGAAAGCCTCTATGCTGAGGCAAATGTTCCTTCTTTAGCTGATCGTTGTTGCTCATAGCCTTCATCGCTTTGTCTGCTCTCATTACCTTTGTGTTCCGTCTACATATAGGTTGGTCTCAGATGTTAGTAGAAGCCCATTATTTGTTCGACGCCCCTGCTTACTCCAACCATTTTCATCCTCACTCATTCCAGTCTTCTCTCCAGTTGCCTCTCGTGTATGTTCATTTAGCATCTGCCTTTTCCCTTCCCCCTTTGGGAGGTTCCGACGGTTCACGTCTGTTCTCCCCTACTGTCGTGCACCAAAGCTCTCCTACCTACGACTGCTTCTCGTTTCTTTTTCTTGATTACTTCTGGTCGCATGCTCATATATATGTTTCCTTTGATGTTTGTGATCATTTCAGATTCCCTCAGTGCTTTACAAGCCATTGAACAATATGATTCTCCTCATCCATCAGTCCTTTGTATTCAACTATGGTTGCACCATGTGGCTAGCGATAACAAAGACATCATTTTGTTGAGTCCTTGGACATGTTGATGTGCAGGGCAGTGAACAAGAGGATGCTGCTGCACGGTCAGCAGTTCATGATCTTTCGATTTCCTATGGAAGTATTCCGTTCAAAGATTATTTTTTGGTCATCTCTGCCCATCTTCGCGGCCGTTGGCAACAACAGTGGTCAGGCATGCACCATAACAGCTTAAACTCTTCTTAACCACTTTTAGGTTCGTGGCCATCTTCTTACCACCGTTGCCGTACTCGGGAGACTATACTCTCCCATACTCGCCTTACCCATGGGTATCTCATGGAACGGCACCCTATTCCTCTCTGTGAAGTTTGTCAGGTCCCTATTTTGGTTCTTCACTTTCTTGTGGATTGTCCGGTTTACCAGCAAGCTCGCAGGATTTACCTCCAACAATGCCGCCACCCTACTACTTGTACTTTATCTTCCCTTCTTCCAGACGGCCCTGCCTTTGGCTTACAATCACTTTTTTACTTTTTGCCAGCGACTGTTTACTGTACAAACTTTGACACATATCCCTCAGCGTCCCTTCTAGCCCTTTTCTTCTCTCACCTCTGATCCCCTCTCCACCTAACTGTTTATAGCCCCAGCACTGTTTTATGCCCTGCAGCGCTGTATGACCCTTGTTGGTTTAGCACCTTCTTTGATTATAATAATAATTTTTTTTTTTTGAGTATTATATATTTTACAAAAAATAAGTTTTCATCTTAATTTTCTACAAGTTAGAAGTTTTATGTTTGTTAGGAATAGCTTTATAGATAGGTTTGTAAGAGCTTCCAATTTCTTGAGATTTAACAAAACAGATCAGATATAATTTTTAAAAACTTTTGTTGTAAAGGAGTATACAGTACTGTACTTTAATGTAATGTGTATTTAATAACATAAATTTTTTAGCAGCATGAACAGGTAGAACAAGAGGCCACAGTTGTAAACTACAAAAAAGGGCCAAAGGACATTAGAACCCTTTAAGGGAGGTTATCTTGATGAGGGTTACATTCAAGAAAATCTTGCAAATGGTAAGACATTACTGAATGGGAAATGGGTGATCAAGGACTGTTGGTTGCAAAAGACCCATACTTTAAAAGTTATCATGGGCCACAATAAATATTTTATGAAGGAACTGGATTTATCCTCCCTTTCCATGGATCGAATCTGAATGCCTCCCACTATATGACCCATACGGATTTACACTTCCCTCATTAAAGTATGCAACAAAAATTTGAGGAATGAATTGACATCAAGTACAGGTATAGTATTTTATGCACTGCGAGAATTGTATGCAAGTCTTGTAGCACTTAACCGTATTGCATCTATGCCTGTGTTGCCATTTGTGGTAGTTTCAGACTCCCTTAGTGCTTTGCAGGCTATAAAAAAATTGATTCACCTCGTCCCCTGGTTCTTCGTATACAACTTTGGTTATGCTGTATCTCGAACAATAACAAAGATATTGTTTTTGTTGGGTCCACAGTCATGTTGACGTACAGGGCAATGAACAGGCGGACACTGCTGTGCAGTCAACAGTACATTACCTCCCAGTTTCATTTAGAGGTGTTCCATTCACAGACTATTTTGCTGTAATTTCTAACCACCTTTGCAACCGTTGGCAACAACATTGGTCTGATCTGATACATAACAAATTACATTCTACTAAACCAAGTATGGGCTGCTGGCCATCTTCCTGTCATCAATGCTGTGGTTGGGAGGCTACTCTCTCCCGCCTTTGCATTGGACACACTCGTCTTACTCGGGTATCTCATGGAGAAGCGCCCTATTCCACTCTGTGAGAATTGTCAGGTTCCACTTTCTGTTAGCCATATTCTGTTGGACTGTCTGGAGGTCTATCAGTGAGCATGCAGAATTTACCCCCTACGTCATCACCGCTCTAATGCTCTTACTTTATCTTCCCTCCTTGCTGACGGACCCACCTTTGATTCAACTCTCTCGCTGACTTTTTGAGAGCAACTGATTTACTGTCAAAACTTTGATGATGCTTACTCTAGCACTCTTCACAGTCCTTTCTACCTCTCCCTCTTGCTACCCTATACCCCTGCACTATCCCCTGCCCCACTGTGCTGTATGACCCTTGTAGGTTTAGCACTTCTTTTTTATTATAATTATGCACTGCAAATAAAGAAAAATGAAATTTGAAGGGGGGGGGGGCAGAAAGCCTACAGAATCTCTGCCTTAGAGTGTTGAAGTTTGAGCTTGGAGGAGTGTGTAGTCCTTGGTGAGTATGTGCAGCATTTTGTAAGTGTAGTGGTAGACCTGCCTTAAAAATGTGATAATCTTTGAAGCATGTGGATTTTATCTGTAATTTTTTATGAGCAGCATTTTTGGGAACAGTCAGTCTGCAAGTACAGTACTGTATATTTAAATTTGAAACTCTGATCCATTAACAACTCCTATCTGTATTGCCCTTGCAGTAATTTCCTGTAATGTGGGAATGGTCTTTGTTATGGCCATTGTTGGGGATTGGTGTGATGGTGCCTGATAGTGGCCGTGGTGATTCTTAAACAGTGAATATGTTGACTTAGAGAATATGGGTATTGTGCCTCTGCTTAGTAGCATGCTGATGTCTCAGATAGGCCACTATAGAGTTGAAATGCTCCCTACATCTAAAGTTTTCACAATATTTCATTCATGACTGGCTCTATAGAAAGAGACTATACCAGAAATCTGCTGCTTGTTCCATCCATTAACATGCATATGAATTTCAGATTCATTTTGCTACCCTTTACAACTGTATTCTTATTGTTACTGCCTTTGACCTCACCTGACTTCAGCATCTTATCAGTGTTTTCATTTGTCAATTTGTCTTCATGTGATACATTCCATTTCCTCACATCTGCCTTCTCCATGTCCTCTAAACCTCCACCTGCACCATCCTCACTAACTTCCTTGTCAGTATTTGAGAAACTACTAAACTCATTGACTACCTCTGACCACAACTTTCAGTATGTGTTGACCAACTCCTTCACCTTGTCAGTTGCCTCCTTTGATGTTAATGATACAGTGCATAATTCTGTCAAACTTACAACACCTGTTAATTTTGTGTTTCATGGATCAACATTAACCATATTCAGAATGTAACAGCAATTGAAATTTATTATCTTAAAAGCATCATTTATCCTTTTGTCTAAGATCTACAATGGAATGTCATGTTGAGAGGCATAAATCTGACCATAACTTTGGAGTACTCATGTTGTAAGTCATCTAGATTGGATACTCTGTTCACTAATTGTGACCAAGTTTCTAACCAGTCAAGTTTTTGCTATGAATTATTCACTTCACAAGATAGAAGCCAAATGTCAAAGTAGAATGAATGCTTACTTTACTTATAGAAAAGTAAATCTCTGCAATTATTCTATTTTGAGATTGGTCCTCCATCCAAATATTTCAGGCTTTGTAAACTTTTTTGAAATGAGGATCACATCTTACACATGGCATTTTTGCAATTAAAGATCATGCTGAAAGGATAATAGAAATTTTTTTCACCAATAAAATCACGGACTACCGTCCTTTCAATATCCATAAGAAGCTTGAGCATAATTCGCACACACATGAAACATTTCATTGGAAAAAGAGGATGCATTCTGAATCCCTGCAGCCCTTACATCCAGAGTACAACTATTAATTTAACTTTTGTACTACATACCTATTTTACATCATTTGTAATACAGATGAATTATTTAATACTGTTTACATATTACATGAATGTTGAATAGATGAACTAGGAGCCATTTGAAGATCTGGAGTCAAACTTGTAGGTAACAGTATTAGTATATCAAGCCAGGCTTGCAAAAGACATGATACAGTATACAAGCCTCAGATACAAAACCCAGTCATGGATAACAAGTATGAGGTCATAGACATAAGCTTATCTATCTTGAGGAAATACGCTTTAGTAATTGTATCCTAGAGGAGGAGGTAGAATTTGTTACTATACAAATTAAACATTGAAGAACTGAACACCACAAGCATAACTGTTCCTGCAGCTGCAAATAATTGTTTCACTTATTTCTTCCCCCTGTTTTCTAAATGTACCATATTGCTGACCCATTAACTTTATATACAGTAGCTTCCTCACAGACATTCCTCTTGATTTCATTAAGTTTGTCTCAACAAAATTTTCTTACTTTATGACATTACTTGCATGCTTTTTTTTTTTTTCCACCAGTTTTAAGCAAATGATCTGGAAAATGTTAAAAGGCAATGCTTGTGGTTGATATGTCCACCAAAAATGGTGGGTAACGCTCACTAAACAACCAGTGACACTTCATCAAGCATCTAGAACATGGCACATTACAAAATCATATGGTTATATTATTGACAATGCAGTCTTCTCATTGAGCACTTTACAGTTATTTTCCTTACGTGGTTATGGAGCAACTTGGGCTGTTTTGGTTTTTGATGTTGTGGAGAGCTAGAAAATAATAGTATTTTAATAATTTACAAATTGTAAATTGATTACAACTTACAATAACACATGAACAGTTTCACAGTAGCAGTGCTCGAGTTTCAGTGTTGCAAATAGTAAATTTGGATTGTATAGAATAAATTGTGAATACCTATGATCATGAATAGTGAACTTTCTGAATGAGACAGGGTTGCTGTGTATACAGTTCTTGATTTTTGTAAATCATTAATTAATGTTTATTAAACTGTTAGGATTGTGGTCCATTGAAAGAAAAGTGGAGAAGTATACAGTTAAGAAAACTTTGGGCTTGATTGGAAATTGTATAATTTTTGTCTTGGGACCAAGATAAATTCAATGACTACATTGTTGTTATTGAAGCTATGCATTTTTTAGTATAATTGTTAAATGCATCACATATTGATATGCTTCATGTCTTTTAATAACGTGGTGTGATCATGATTGACTGAATGGCCATTTTTTACCTCTGGGGTTAGTGTAAACTATTTATTAGGCTACTTAAAATTGATAAAAAGATGTATTTACTTGTGCAGCCATATATATTACATTTTTAATTTGTGAAATGGTGATTTTAATGTAAATTTTATTTCCATAAACTTTCCAGTGTTGTAAACTTGCAAAGATATTGTAAATTTATTACATAAAGCAGCTATTTTTAATTGAACAGTACAAAAATTTTTCCTTGAAACAATTTGGTTAAAACTATTATTGTTGCAAATTTTTATATTAATGTCAGTTTCTCTTAGACTTAGTATAAAAACTTTTATTAGAAATATAAAATACAGGTAATAGAGGGTTCAGCAATAGAAAACAATATACTGTACATTATTCATATAATACAGTACTGTATATTGCATAATTTTTGCATTTTGCATTCAGTGCACTTTAGATAGCTTATCATTTTGATATATAGTTAAGTAGGCAAAGATTTTGCACATTTGTGATGTTTCCTGTGATTTTGCCAATTAGTGCTAATATAATGATAAACCAAAGTTCTCCTTTTCATAGGCTATTAAAGGTGCATATTCATTTTTTTTTTTTTTTTTTTTTTTAAGACTAATCCCTAACTTTGCCACTTCAGTAATGTCATTTTAACGAAAGGAAAATACACCCAGTATTATATACCTAGTAACTGGGGTGTCATCACGAACATTAAATACTTTTATTTTATGTAATGACTTTGGCAGGCCTATAACTCATTGGGGTGTTGTCTGTAAACATACCATTCCTTAGAGAGTCAGAAAAATAATGCAACAAATATTGTAGCCAACAATATTTTAACCCTTAAATGGTCCAAACGTATATATATGTTCTCTCGTGTAGCTCCCCAAACGTATATATACGTTTCCTTTGTCATTCATTCAACATTGGCACGATAAGCCTGAGTCGCCTAGACATGAGAGAATGGGTGTGTGCACTCACTGTGCGCCAAATGAAAAAAATTGGGGATGCCTGGGTACCATATGCTCTTTTTTCCTATTAATATTTTTTTTTTTTTTTTTTTTTTTTTTTATCAAAGAAATCGGGGCGTTATGAGAGAGAACGTATATATACATTTGGACTATTTAAGGGTTAAGTGTAGGTATTTTTGTTTTAATTATTTAATGTGCTGCAACTTTTTCAGAATGTATTTTCTTGACTAAAAGTACTCCAACACTCAGAAAAGGGTATCTGTGGTAAAGTTTTAGATTTCCTGGTCTGTGGACTGTTCACTCTCAGACAGACTTTTGGCACATGATCCATATTCTGTAGAAATTTGTACATCTGGACTGTAGATCTTTTGAATGCATTTAATGAGGATATACTAATTTGAAATCACTAGTGTTATTACATTTATTGATGGTATGTTTGAATGACATTCAGGTTGAGTTTAATTAATTTTATTAATCTTACTATTATCAATAGTTCTAGTTTCAGTGGATTAAGCTTGATTGGACTTTAGTTAACACATTGAGCATCAGCATAGGAGATAATGTCCTTATTAAATAATTATGTTATTCTATAGAGGGCACAGTCAATGTTGATAGTAAATATAGACTACTTTAAATGGAAAAAAAATCAGAATGATTTTTCTAAGCCATAAAAGTATACCCAGAGAAAGCATAAATGATTCATAATAGCTGATAACTTTTTGTTATTATTTTGGCAATCTGCAAAAGTAATAGCTTAACTGAGGAATTTGTTTCACTAGTGTCTAATTGTTAGAGGTGTTTGTTTATAGTTGACATACACCCTTTACTTCTGTTTCATGATGTTTCCAATGGCAATTTGGTCTCAGGAGTAATATCAAATATTCTGATGTTTTAGTGGGTTCATTGTATCATACCACTGATTAGCTCCTCAAACAAGGTTGTCTTTCAGGTTATGGAAACATTTCTATTCATTAGTATTGAATAGTTTAGAATTTATATTTATTAACATATGAAAAGACTGTGATGAAGTTGCTGTAACAGCATTACTAGTTTAATGATAACATAACACTAGAGGCATTCTAGTATAATGCCACAGCTAAAAAAACATGTGAATAAGACTTGATAATTCCTGTACTGTGTTTATGAAATTATTCCATCACTTTAAAATTATAGCATTCAGTGATATTAAGCAAATTTGTGATTTTATTAATTTTCTCTGTCATTCCACTAGCAGTATCATTTACACAACCCACTTTTATTTCTTTTATTTTTACTAAAAAATAATCATTTAAATTTTAATTGTCTTGTGGCAAAGTTCATTAAACTGTATGTTGTAAACAGAATATGAGTGTCTTTGCCTTAATTTAATTATAAAGAATGAATTTTCCTCCAAATTCTTTGTGAATAGAACTTGATACTGTCCTTTACATCAGTTAAAAATTTTCTTAAACGGTGATGTAATATGTAAAAAAAAATTATTTTGCCAGTTTAACAGTTTGTAATTTAATTTACCAAGTAATAGTTTAAATAATCAAATTGCATATATTGAAAACTAACTCAAATAAAAGAAAGGAAAACTAAACCACCTTTCAGTCTGTCTTGGACCCCTAATTAAGTCATGTAAGTTGTGAATTGTTTCAGCCACAGATTGCGTGTATGCAATATGCATTTAAACATTAATAATAAGGATTTTAAGCAAGTAGTTTTTAAATAAATGTAATTAAATTGTGCAATCCAGTTTATTAGTAATAATGTATATGTCATGACTTGAATAATGTAACAGTTTATTCATTTATTTTAATGGATTGTAAAAGTTGACATTTGCACTTATGATGCATTAATAATAGCTTGTGATTGACTGCTTGTTATTGCACTTCAAATTCTGTAATAGTTATATTTGAGTGATAGTTTTAAGTTAGAAATTCAAATTGCACCAGTATTTTTATATTCCTATAGGGAACACTTATTGATGTATGAATGAAAATATGCGGGATATACAAATGATATTTAAGGCCGTTAACTGCTAGAATGTAAGTGAGATCTTCCTGTATCTGTTGTACTTAACAAGATTTTCATTATTTATATTAGCTGTGATTAGAACTCTCACATAATTTTTTTATGGCATCCATTACAATCTAAAATATCAGAATGAAATGTTCTTTGTTGGGACATGGGAAAATGGATGGCCATGAACACTTGTGCTCTGTGACCACTATGGGACTTAACAAAATTCCTTGAATATTATTAACAAAATGGCATAGATTTATTATTACTAAGTGTAAATTTACATTGCTGGATTATTTTATAACAAATTTATCAAACTTTTAGGCATCGTATAGGTTACATATAAATTTGTACATTTTGTAGCAGGAGCAATAGTTTATAATTAACTAATAATGTTTTAAATATTTTAAAATTTCTCATGTGTATTTGTAATTATCACTTCATCTGTACTTTGCATAACTTTTTATGTATTGAACTTCTGCTTATATCTTAAAAGGTTCAGTGGAAAATACCACTCTGTTGCCTCAGCTTGCTTTTGGCATTGTTTGTATATTCAGTATTAAATAACTGAATTTTAACAACAGATTCTGTGCATTGTTATATGGATTACAAAATCCAGTGGTATAGTTAAAAGTAACAGACTATGTGACCCAGAGCATTATATATCCCAAAATCAATTTGTAAGCTCAGAATCACATACCAAATATAACTGGGAGATGCAACATTCATCCTCTGCTTTATGGTGTTTCACTAATCAGCTGGATATGTTGGGTCATGGTCATTGTTAAATTTCTATTTTGCTTGAATGTATTATTAAATGAGAGCAGTTTACACTGCAATAAAAAGTTGACAGAGCATATTCCATTTGTAGAATATCATGACAAATAAATTGATTTTGAAATTTTAAGTATTTTTTCTACAATCTGCAAAGTAAGTGGCATTTTTTCCTTTTTAAATTATGGGTTAAATGGTACAGTAATACCCGGTTTTTGTCCTTAATCTGTTCCAGAAGGTCAGCCGAAATCCGAAATGGACAAAAACCGAAGTAATATTTCCCATAAGAAATAACGCAATCCAATTAATCCGATCCAGACACCCAAAAATATTAACAAAAAATACATTTTATAGAGAATAATTATAGTTTTACATACAGAAAACAATGAGAAATAAATATAAAGCATTAATTTTAATGGATAAATGAACATTTTAATCAGTTTACTTTTATGAAGATTCTTGTTG